ATTATGTTTACTTTTTATTACTTTGTTGATTTTGACCGGGTTGACCCAAAGTTAACTAGCTTGATCTGGTACTGTTCACAAGAGCTATCATATATATATAATATAGTAAGGTTTCTCAAAGTTGAAGTGATGAGAGGCTYRCATGTGTCACATTCTTTTGATATTTYTTTTTCAGTTTATTTATTGAAAAAGAAAAGGAAAATTATGTGTCATTTCTTTCATAACTTTGACAATTAATTCRGARAATTTAATMGCTAAWTTRTAATGTAAARTAATTTCAACAAGTTACAATTCAGTGTCTTGTGTACATTTATCTAATTTTTATATAAATTTACGTATAGAAAATATATATTTTTATTTATCAAATTTAACAATATACTATATAAAAACGTTTAAAACTTTGGCTTTTATATAGGTAACGTGATCTTAAATTAAAAAATCACAAAGAGAAGTTTTAATAAAATGAAGTATAACATGAAAAAAAAAATAATGTGATACATCTAAAGAATGATTTTAGAACTTTTAAGGATGTTAAAACACTTACGTCTCATTMGGAAAATTTTAACTTTTAATGTTTTTAAATGCTTTCATAGCTTTCAAAACCAATTTACCTATCACCCTCTAATGCAATTGAAATAATTTGTGTTAGATAAAGTAACCCTCTTAATCAAGACTCTCAAAATAAAACCTTACTCCATCACAAATTGTAAATCCAGAAAAACAGAATCACATCACCAAGAAAAAGATGTCAAAGATAAAAATCACAGTAAATCGATGTGGAGGCCAATACCAGCACAACTAGATTTGTAAYGGTTTCGTGAGGAAACAGAGATTTCTAAGTTAAGTTACGAAAGAAACGATGAGCAAAGAGAAACGTTTGTTATTGCTGTATATACTTTTGTGAATAAAGTTGCCCATCCCTTTACAAGGATTTATACATAGACATATATAGTGTTCCTAAGTCGGCTAAGTTTTCCATAAAGGATTATGTTAAGTTTCCTAAGTTTCCTAAGTCTTCGCGGATTTCCTTTTCGTCCATGTCGGTTGCGCCGTAGTGGGCTTTGCAACTGGGCCGGGCTTCAGCGTTGAGACTCCAAGCTCCCGCGGTTGTTACGATGTCTTTTCGTAGCTCTATGCTTATCTTCTGGAGGTATCTGGGCTTATCCTCTCAACTGACTTCGGGCTGAAGCCCAACACAGGAAGTCTTCGGGTCTTTCTTGCGGAGCGAAAATATGATCTTTCCCGCGAGACGAAGACATGATCCTTCTTGCGAGGCGAAAGCATGATCTTCCCTGCAAGGCGAAAGCAGGGGTCTTTGGTGTCACCCTATCAGAGTCATCGGTGGCCCCCTGCGTTGATGCTTTCTTCTGCATGAAAGCAAGACTTAGAAGACTTCGCCTCGCAGGCGGATAAGACTTTGTTTCTCAGGCAGAAAAGACTTCGCCTCGCATGCAGAGAAGACTTCGCCTCGCATGCAGAGAAGACTTCGCCTTGCAAGCGGAGAGGAGTTATGATCGGAGAAGACTTGTCTAGAAACGACTTAGGAACCATATATTCTCTAGATGTCAACGTGACTCAATCTCTGTTTGTTATGTTACCCAAACTTTGAACATTAAGGTTGAGCGGGTGAAATCCGACCCCAACAATCGACAAATAAAGTGAGACACAAATACAATCAATCATCAATTATTCTCTTCTTCTGATTTAAGGTTCCAATGAAATCAACAAAATATGCATTCMAACACCTTTATTGAGATGATACAGATATCRCAGTAGAAGCGAAGCATAGTATAACTTGTCTGATCAATCAATTTTTACAAACGTATTTGATACAAAAAAGATGAGCAATCATTTTTTTAGAAAATTGTAGTGAATACTGATAAAGACATATAAGTTAAGGATTTGTGCCAAATAATATGTTTTTCATATGCTGTAACTGTAACGCCCGTGAACCAAAAAGGTGTATTTTGGTGGTGCGTCGAGCGACGCATGAGTGTTACGTCGAGCGACGCAGAGGGTTTTGCGTCGAGCGATGCAGAGGAGATGCGTCGAGCGACGCGAATCGTTAATCAGACCGGGAAGTCGGGTTTGATCGTGCGGTTTGCGCATTGGTTTAAGGAAACCTTAGGGTTTGATATAAAAGGGCTGAAACTGTGTTTCTGGCCGTTTTGGGGATCAGAATTCCGAAAGGAAGGTTTGGGAGAAAAGTTGAGAGTTTGTGTGAGAGAGAGACAGTTTCTGATCGGACATTTGAGAGGGCAAACGGCGGGGCTTTGCTTGGCGGATTAGGCTGATTTTTGGAGGGTAAGTTCTCCAATATCTGCTCGTGTTATTGGCAAAAACGGTTCGTCTTTTGGTTGATTTTTCACCAAGTTTTGTCTGTTTGAACTCGGTGGGTTCGTGCAGATTGTTGTCTGCGATCAGTCGGGTTTGAAGGGGAATTCCGATTGAACCAGAGGGTTTCTGGAGGCGATCCACATACCGGCGCGTAGCTGTGTGTGTCTAGTTTCCGTAACAGTCGCCTGTTTCGGAATTGGATCGGTGGTTCGTCGTGTACGGGGTTTTAGCAAGCGTCGTTCATTCGTTCATTTCGATCCTTCGAGGTGAGTGCGTGATCGTGGGTTGTGTGGACATAGGAATAGATGGAATGCGTTTGATTGCTGTTTTTCGTGTGTCCTATGACTGGATCGTGCAGGTGTCTCGATAATTCGCGACGGATTCAAGCCATGAGAGGATAGACTCGTTTCTGTGAGAGTCGCGTCGACCGACGCAAGGGCTTTGCGTCGCTCGACGCAGACATGTTGTGTCGACCGACGCCAGGGTGGCGCGTCACTCGACGCAGACGCCTCGCGTCGACCGATGCCTAGTGGTTGCGTCGCTCGACGCAGAGTCCCTGTTTGGTTTTGATTGGTTGCCTTGTTGCTTGTTGTGTGCTCATCCTGGTATTTATCATTCGTATGTCTGTACTTAA